TTATTTCGTTTAATAGTAAAAATTAATAGAATATAATTAGATGGATAGGTCTTATAATTGTTATAAATAAAGTTTTCGGTATATTAAATAAATCCTTTTTTTAAATTATAAATTAATTTAATAATTTTGGCCAAAATTATAAATGCATAATTTAGCATAATTTATTTTATTACGCATGCATAATTTGGTATTTACGCAGCATAATCCTGGACACTCTAATCCAAAGATAAAGGTTTTACCAAACTTTTAAAGAAAACATGCGAAAACAATCATTTACAATTTGATAACGTTCAAAAATGTGTAGGAGGGTTACTGTAAACGGTTGACTAAAGTACCCCCTGATGCAAAAGTACCCTCCTTGTGACCCTTTTACCGATCACTATATAAATAACAATCGTACCTTCCCGGCATTTTTAGAGACAAAAAATTATCATACAAAACACCAAAGTTTTAAATTTTTGTTTTTAAAAAAATGTATTGTATTCAGACAGTACAATACTAATCAAAATATTTATTTAGATGGTTAAAGTTTACTAGTTAAACCACCTGGAATTACCACTATATTTGTTTGTTTTTCAACAAATCTATTTTTATTAGTATTAACCAAATGCTTTTTAAAAGAACCTAAAACTAGAAGAAATTAAGAATTACCTAATAGATTATGTTGATTTCATATATTTACGTGAATATTAATATCTTGAGGAAATTGCTCTTTTGTAATTTTAAAAATACAATTAGCTAGAAGATTAGTACCATTAGCCAAACATGATAAAACAACAGAAAATGAATTTTTTCATAACTAGTATACAAATAATTACTGTTGAAATATCACATTAATCTATTGTTATATTTGAAGATAAATTATACCTATTATTGTTATTAGTCAGGACAAATGAGCGGTACAAACTTTAGCTATTTAGATTACTGGGACTGAGATCTAATACCTAGGGAAACGTTAACAATTGGACTGGATTGAACAGCCACACTTAGTATCAGTTAATAAATAGAATTCACACTCAGCCTTGGCTGACAAATTAAAAACCCTAAAGCAGATATACGATAGTATGAAACTTGCTTATAAAATAGCTTGTGAATTGCAAAACAAATTAAAGGAAAGTACAATTTTTTTCAGCTTCAAAGATTTGATGGTGCTAGCGTACTCTATAGCTAATCTGGCAACTGAGTATTGAGAAAGTTTTTCTAAGTGTAAAACTGATGGGTAGCTTTATGTATACGTGACTATAAAAATGTAGTTAACGTACTCTATGTCTAATCCAACAACTGAGTATTGAGAAAGTTTTTTTGAGTATAAAACTGATGGGTTGTTCTGTGTGTGTGTAGGCATTAAAACTTTGGTTAAAACAAGTATCTGTAACACTTTGTGAACTTCCATCCTATCTAATATTTATATATAGATGGAGAACACGTAAAAATACAAAGTTTAGGAGAAAAAAGATTAAATCACTTCATTGAAGATAGAATCTAATTTGATCAACTTGAAATTGAAAATTGATAGAGCAAGTACTCATTAATCTCGTTGATACATCCTAACAACTTCTTATTCAGTTCTTATTGAACTTATGACAGAAAAGGAGAAGGTAATCTGTCCATAAAATAATACAACAGGAATTTCAAATTGCACAACAAGGACTTCAGGAATGCGTTGATGCTGAATTTGATACAATGGAACAAGAAAGGAAGAGAATTAGAATTGATATGTTTGACTTAAATTATTTGAGATATTGATTACCACTACAAAGTTGCTTATTGCTAAACATTTTCACAAAAAATAACAGTAAATCAAAACAATGTTGAAGTTCCTTTTTTGTGTGTAGTCACTCCTCCCCTTTTAAACTTTCGCTAGCTTAGCTATGAACTCTGAAAGATAAGGTAGTCATATTTTTCAACTGTATTTCTACGTAACAAAAAATATCTTTTCACCTTTCAAATATATGTATAGACTGAAGCAGTGATATATATTTTTGATGTTTTAGAGATTTATTATCCCAGCTATATATCTCAACCTGTCCCACACTATGTCCAAATGTCCTATCTGTTCTATTTATATTCTATCAGCATCCCATCAGTATTCCATTAATATCCTATGACAATACTGGATGAAAGTGAAACCAACCTATAACGATTTAACGTTCAATGACAAAGAATCATTATTATTTTTCTCTATAGACATTTTCTCTGAAACTTTTTCGCAGATGTCTAATTAGGAATAAAAAGATACGAAACGATTCCTCTGATCATTATAAATAAGAAAAATGAACAAGGATTAAAGAAAAAACTTTTCTCTCTCTCTCCAAAACCAAAAAAATGGAAAAGAAAAAAACCAAAAATTTTCATAAAATAACAACTGCAACTTACGAACTCGCCTTGACTCTTCAACAAATAATAAAGAAGAACCTCTCCAGAAGAAAACCATGACTGGCAGGTCTACCTAAACACTAGAAACTCCAGCTGGACTGTTAAATGTCGTAACTACCACCAATATTTTATCAGCCGATAATATGAGCATAAACTAACAAGTGAAAGCAGTTCTCGCAGAAGGCAAAAACTTTGAATACAAAAAAGATACCTGATTTCCCAGGAAAAATAACACACAAGAAATAACTACTACTAGTCTTTCTCCTATTTTCCAACCAAAGGATAGTGAAATGATGGTCCCCAGAGCTGAAAATAAAATGGATGAAAATCAAGCTTTCGACGCTTCAGAAAATTTATTAAACAACAACAGAACTAACAGGAATACCATTACCTTTGAAAGAATCTGAAACGCAACTACTTTCTATATTTACTGCATTGCCGAAACTTTTCTTCCTAACAAATCCTTTAGAAAAAAACCAACAAAGCCTGCGAACTTTTCAATGATGCAGTATTCCCGTCCTTCATTAGTGCGTCAATCAAACAAGATCCAGAAAATAGAATGTTGAAAATAGTCTGTTTAGGATTCACAACTCGAGATGACGTCAATCTTGCTATGGCTGCAAAAATTCCCAATATGAACAACGTCACATTTATATTCTTGTTACACCTGTCCTATTTAAATTTGACCTGAGTCTGTCGATCAAGAACACTACTGGTAGAGAATTAGAGCCTATCGATAAAGCAGTTAATGCTATCACATGGGTGATTTTCAAAGCACGATCAAACTATAGAAATCTCCAATACGCCTTTATGCACTTTAGTAATAAAGAAGATCTCGATACGGCAAGAAATGGGAACCCTATTGAGTTTGATAATAGGAAACTCATCTGGACCGCACCTGATACTAACCTATACGCACATTGTTCCATTTCTGGATATGACTCGCGAAATTGTAAACGTAAAAGACAAAACTCCCAAAGACAGATAAACACAAAACCTCTACTAACGCTATAAGTCTGCGCAATTTAAAAATTATTCTGCATCTGTGCCCTGTCCTAAGGTCACATTCATATATGACCAGGAGACTATGTTTGATCCAAAAAATCCCGCTCGTTTGCGAACAGAATTAAGGATATCAAGCTTCTAGCTAAAACTTCTTTAACAAATACCAAGGATCCTAAGATATCAAAGAATAAATTCTCTCTTGATGAATCAATCCACGCGCGTAAATCATGGTCAGAACAAATGGACGAGATAGACATACCGTACTGATCTCCTAAAACACCTACACATGAATTAACAGATATACAAAAAATCTTAAATCAATTGGATGCTATCACGGCAACCCTTATAACAATTCACAATAACCTTGCTTTTTTGATGTACCGTCTCAATGAAGTGAAAAAGCACTTGAATATTTTTACAGTCACACCAAAGAAAGCTGCTGAACTCAATGAAGCAGCCAAAGCTGAAGGAGCTATGGACACAGACACTATCTATGAATCAGAAGTCGACACATTAGACTTTCGAGTTATTGAATAAGAAAAGCACATCGCAATACTTCACACAAAAACTGAAGAACTACGAAAACACAACAAAATCATGGTAGAAAAACTCAATATCGCCCTCAAAGCCGTTGCCAACATCCAACATATAGTCCTAGATGATACACACCCTGCATACATAATCCCGATCCCTAAACTCAACATGCTAGTGCAGTCGATACTTCAGAAGATGGCACAAAGGTCCCCGCCCCTAAACTCTTCTTTAAATAATTATGATATCACAACCATTAAATACAAAAATGGTGCCCTTACACTCAATATCACCATCCATAATACTTGTTCTTTTACTTCATCATATAAACAACAAATCCTTTTTAATCTTTACTCTCTTTATAATTTAG